CGGCTGTATTGTGTTGCTCTGCAAACGGGGGGAATTATAGCCCCAGATGGAGATTTCAACTACACTTTAAACCTTCAGCCATGGAGAAAAACAGGAAGACAAGTGTTGCAGAATTGATTTAAGCGTATTTACTTATTGCTGCCACACACTGCTGAAAATGGCTACTTTTATATAAGATCTTATATCATGCACTGTGTGGGTTCACAGGCTATATGCTGTAGTTCTACTCTGCAGAAGAATAAACTGACAAGGCTGCTACAGCAAAACAGGAAATATATCAATGGATATCATCATTAAGTTTCTTTAAATTTAAGATGTTCTATGGTAACTGGTTTAAAAATTATGCTAGTTTCTTAGAAATAAAAGATGCTACCGAATGACACAGAAACAGATTCATAATATACGTTGTCACATAATATAATAGTTATATCGATGGAAACATGTTTTGTTTTCTAGTTAGTATTTAAATCCCTTCTTATGTGCATTTACCTGAAAACCAGGAAAATAGGAATTAATTGGTTTAAAAAAAACCCAAAAGAAACCTGCTTGTTATCCTAATAATTTGATTAAATTTGATCAATTATTTTTCTCTTAGAGCCCTCAGTCTGTGCTTTAAATTGCATAAAACTACAACTGCTCCCTCTACATTCACATTTACTTCGACTAAATATGCAAATAAGGAACTTTGGTTAAATATATATATATATATATATATATAATACAAAGATCCCTGCAACAAACAAGTTAAGATCCACTTACCGAGATTGAATGATTTTAATATTTCCAAAAATGGATCTGTTTCATTTTGGGCCATTTTCCACCATGAGTTTTTTGTTTGAGCTCCACAGTGATGCACACACGTAGAAAAACTAAGCCTTTTTCCAAGTCTGGCCCCACTATCCCCACAGTGTTCACTGTGGCGGAAACCTTGCTGTCATGCTTCCTTCCCCTCCCCGGCTTTAAATTTAGTAAATGCGTTGCTTATCTTTGTGGGACATAACACTGGGAAGCAGTGTTGTTTCCTTTTGCATCATTTCCTTAGGATTTATACCTTATAACCAAAACCCTTTCATGAAAGTAGATCCTGCTTACACAATATAGAATGCACCCTATTTATGCAAAAAGTTTTGGTCGAGCAAAAGTGAACAAGATGCATCTAGAATATAACGTTTTCCCAATGTAAGACGTCTCGGAAATTATTCCAAGTGCTGAAGTTTCCTGCCAGTTTCAGGAGAAGCAGTACCATAAAACTCTGCCAAACCAATACACCACCTTTAGAGTATCAAGCTTAGGTCTCTGTGGGGATTTCCTTCAATTGTTGCTGTGTTCCCACTGCTCCTTTGCTCTCAGACTGAGAACATTGCAAACCTTCTTGAGTTGAGCAGCTGCAAAATCTTCCTTTCTTCTCTAGAAACATGCTCCAGTGAATCATTTTCATGTTTTTAACATTAGGTTTAAAGGAGGAGCTTTCATCCCAACTGTTACACTTATTTCCTAAGGTTTAGGGCTTTTAATTGGGAAGTCTTGATTTCACTAAAGGCATGTTATAGAGTTGTCCAGTAGGTGGCAATCAAGTCATTGAAATTAAACTGCACCTGTGAGTATTCTACATTCTGAGTGACCTTAAATGAGTTCAACTGACTATTAAGGCAAGGCAAATTTATTCGTATAGCACAATGCAGTACAAAGACAATGCAAAGTGCTTTACATGATTAAAATACAGGAAGATAAAACAGAATCAAACCAAGTAGGAAAAAAAAAAATATATATATATATATATATATATATATAAAATAAATAAAATAAAATAAAAAATGTAGAAAAAAAAAAGAATATTAAAAACAGTTGGAGTTTAACTGTTTAACTAGAACAGTCGAAGGCAATCCTAAACAAATATGTTTTTAGTCTCGATTTAAAGGAACTCAGGCTTTCCGCAGTTTTACAGTTTTCTGGAAGTTGGTTCCAGATAAGTTGAGCATAGGAACTAAATGCTGCTTCTCCATGTTTAGTTCTGGTTCTAGGTCTGCAGAGCAGGCTGGAGCCAGAAGACCTGAGTGGTCTGGAGGGTTGATACACTGATAGCAAGTCTGTGATGTATTTAGGTGCTAAGCCATTCAGAGATTTATAGACTAACAGAAGCATTTTAAAGTCTATTCTCTGAGATACAGGGAGCCAGTGGAAGGACTTTAGAACTGGGGTGATGTGCTCTACTTTCTTAGTCTTAGTGAGGACACGGGCAGCAGCGTTCTGGATCAGCTGCAGCTGTCTGATCCACTTTTTAGGCAGACCTGTGAAAACACCGTTGCAGTAATCAATTCAACTAAAAATAAACGCATGGATTAGTTTTTCCAGATCATGCTGAGACATTAGTCCTTTAATCTTGGAAATGTTCTTCAGGTGATAGAAAGCCGACCTTGTAACTGTCTTGAAATGCTTTTGGAGGTTCAAGTCTGAATCCAGCACTACACCTAGACTTCAGGCCTGATCAGTGGTTACTAGCTGAAGCGACTGAAGCTGTGTGCTAACTTTAGATCTCTCCTCTATTGGTCCAAAGATTATTACTTCAGTTTTGTTTTTATTCAGTTGAAGAAAATTATGGAACATCCAGGCATTGATTTCTTCTAAGCATTTCCTCAGTGCTTGAATTGGTTCATAGTCACCTGGTGACATGGTGATGTAAAGCAGTGTGTCGTCTGCATATTAAAAATGAACTATAGATATTTGATTTGCATTGAATATAAGGCATACGTTTTGCATTTCATTTTGAAATACACTGTTTATGTGTGCAAATAAATAGAAGTTTGAATCAGCTCCTCTTGCTAAAGCTTTTGTGACAAAGATCCTTACTTGTATGAGATTAGGAGCTCATCAAATGAGAAAAAACAAATCTCATAAAATAAAAATGTTACGAGAGCACATATGAAACCAAAAGTTATTAATACAGAAACATCAAGGAATGTTCATTATTGTCCAGCACAGTGTCATTCTAAAGGTCCTTGGGCCAAATCCAGCCCATCACAAGAATGCATCCAGTCTCAAGGAGCCAAAAAAGGCATATCATAAAAGAGAGGCATATGTTCATTTAAACTGTACAACGTTGTGACGATCTACAAAATGAATTTGATCAAATTTATATATTAGAAGTGTGTCATTGTAAATTAATTTATGAAATCTAAAAGATTTGGTTATACAGCTGCAACTGGTCCTTTCAAAGACCGAATGATGCCAAAGTGGCCTGATATGAAAATTAGTTTGACGCCCTGCTGTACAGCATGCACACAAAAAAATGACAAGGTATCTAAAAATGGTGACAAGTCATTTTGCATAAATACACCAATGCTGTATGACATGGAGGCGATCAGCAAGTGGAATTGCTAAGGCTTCTATGAAGCCTAGGTCACCGAACAGCCTGCAATCCGTCTGCATCAATGGGCTTGGTGTCTTTGGTCTCTACTCCTTAGCCTCTGTGCATTTTTTTGTTGCATGAGTTTGCTGGTCATAAAAGTCGACTATTATGGTTATTTCAAGAAGTCACTAGTACTCCAGGCAGCTCTAAGCTGCTCTAATTTTTATGCCCTGACATAACAGAGTGAATCAACACCAGTGTGTGACACTGCTTCCTGGTTCAGGAGTAACTTAACAAAATTGCTCCAGACACCTATGGCTGTTCAATATATATTGTGCATAAATGGTTAAATAACTAAATGTAATGTAAAGCCATTTTTTTTCTCCTTTAACTATATATGGCAACCCTTAGCCATACAATTAGGTATATGTTTAAAAAATATATATATATAATAAAGTATATATGTATATATATATATATATATATATATATATATATATATATATATATATATATATATATATATATATATATATATATATATATATATACTGTATATATATATATATATATATATATATATATATATATATATATATATATATATATATATATATATATATATATATCAAATAGTAATACATATATATATATATATATTACTAAATACTAAAAAATACCTTAAGTGCTTTTCATTTAAAATATTAATTGAATTTAACAATGAAATCGTTAAATATAGAACCTTGTGGAAAAATCCCTGTGAGTTTCACATTTGGACTTGAATTGCTGAAATAGGTAGGCTTTCATCAAGAATATCAAGAACATCCTTTTGTTCCTAAAACATCACCCAGTCCATATCAGTAGAAAATTATTTTCAAAGTGTTCCTCTAATTGTTTTGAGCAGTGTATATATTTTTACTGGGGAGAGTGGAAGCCTGTTTCCGCCACTTTAAAAAGAAAAAGCCAAATAGAAAGTCATATTTATGAGATACAAAGAAATTACAAATTCATGATTTTGAGACACAAAGCCATAATTTTGACTTTCACAGTCATAATTAAGAGATACAAAGTCTGAAAGTATAATATTTCATAATTCTGACTTTGTGTCTCATAATGGCAGCAGCTGATTAGCTCGAGATCTGCCTGTTTTTTCAGTGTAGTCCTGTTTCTCTGACTGTGACTGGCTGGATGTGCTCTCCTCATCCTCTTACATGGGAGCTGGGCCATTTTGGGAGCCATCTCATTATTATGATTTTTTATTTTGCATTTTTTTACTTTCATGTGGCGGAAACGGGCTTCCATAGGAAGTTTGTTTCATCTTATGTATCACGTCCATATCCCCCCCCCCAGTCCACTAAAACCAGAAAGCACACCTCACAGTTCTGACTCCTCCCTCTGCCAGCATCTTGCCGCGCGCTCAGCTTCTTGTGGTTTCCAGCGTGTGGGCCGCAGCAGAGCTCCATACACGCCACCATGTTTCATTTTCAGGGTTACCATGGGCAACCGGGCAACACAGACACGCACGGCCACTTCCTTTGGGGTGTTCACCATGCTCTGCTGCGATAAGCGCTGAGACGACGTTCAGCTTGGTTTTTCTTATTTGTCACCTTTTTCATGGTAATTATCACTGTTTATATCTTAGATACTTCCTCTAATAGTTCACGCGCTTCAGTAACGCGGCTGCATCAGCGTGTTACCTCTGCAGGTGTCTGCAGGTTACCATGACAATGGAATGACAAGCTTTCATAAAGTAAGTGCCAAACTTATTTAAACATTGTTTAATCAGTTTTATTTCAATTTCCTCAAAATATATCACAATTATTGTGACAGTGAAACTTAAGTGCTGTACTTCCCTATTATAGTTAGCGTTTCACTTTATCTCCCGTCTTGCTTGTTTCTGCCTTTGTAAGCCTATATTTAGCTGTGTGTGACTTCCTGTTCTTGCAAATATGGTTATTAAGTCTTTTATATCCACGTGTCCATTTGTATTATTTGCTGATCATGAATTGACTCATTTTGTAATTAAATACCTTTATTAATACAGCCAAGTTTGAAGTTGTATAATTTAAATGTTGAAACTTAAATTAAGTTTTCTGTAGGTTTCCCTTCTGTTCTGCTGCTCCTCCAAACAAAGTCCAAATCCCCCAAAAAATAAAAAAGAGATTTCTGAGAAGATTTGTTTTACATGTTTTTTCCAAATGCTTCAATAAAAGCAGGAGTCTGTTTCAAAAAGTTACTATTGAAATTAACATAGATCTACAAACCCTATCGGTCTGGGATGCACAAAATGACGAATGCAAGCTGACAAAGCGTGATTATGTTTTGCAAGAATAAGCAATAAAAAAATAATAATTTATGTATTCAGACTTTTAGATTTGTGGCAGATCCCACGGTCAGGCTTTTTGTTTAAACAAAATATTTTAGATCATACTTTGTTTCACATATTCTTGCAAATATTGCAATATTGTAAAACTGTGTGGACTTGGAGTTGATAAAAGTGGAGCAAATTTATTCTCATAGAACTACAAGGACAGTTTTGGTGAAACAAATGATAGAAGCTGACTTATAAACTCTTAAGTGACTTAATGACAATGCAAAACAGTTTTTTTAATGCTTACTACATAATCAGGTGCAACAATCCTTAAACAGTCCTTTTATCTTTTGCAGTATTTGCATGGAAGAAGTGCATCTATTGGACTGTAAACCTGCTTGTACCTGCATGAAACCTCAGACTCAATTGGACCGGCTCCTGCAGTGAAATTACAAAGAGAGAGAGAGAGACGCAGGGAGGGGCATAGGGGATGTCCCACTCGGGACAGCTGTAAAGTATCTGTTGTTCTCGGCATCAGTGACTCACCTTGTGATACGACTGCAAAGAGTCGACATGGCTTCTCCAAGGCAGTATGGTCGATCATCTGTGGACATAGCCAATGTGATGCAGAAGCTGCAGGGTAAGTGTCACTTTTTGGCATTGCCGGCATGCAGACAAAACCCTCCTCTCCTCCTGCACTACTGCACAGTGATATTATGCTGATTCAAGGCCTGGCTGTATGCCAAACTGAAGTTGAGATAATTTGCAAGGCAGGAGGCGCTCGCACACATGTATGCATAGACACCACCTGATAAACTCCTTTACACTAGGTCTTTTAACTCATTCCTGGAAAAAAAAAGAATGTACTGTCCTCAAACGCATTGGGCCATGCAGACATTATTGGATCACATATTTGGATAATTAAATCTTGTTTTTTCAACATCTACGGTAATCTTATTTGGAACAATAAAGAACAGTTGTTCTTATTCTTGTAATATCATGTGACATAACTATATTAAGTCAAGTTATGCATTTCATTGTCCCTGATTGGGAAATTGTATTTAGTCATTGTTATAAAGTCTTTATCAGCAAAGCATGATTCTGATGGTCATGTTAGCCTACATTTAGGTGTATTTGTGCCCTCTAGTTAGGAACATTTTATATCATCTGTGCCTTTGATAAGCAAAAAGATCAATAGCATGAGCCTATTTTCTAATGGTGATCCTTTTTTTTTATTACAAAAGCATTGAGTAAACGTTATCTTCAAAGTCTGTCTAAATATAAGATCCATTGCTTAAATAATTGGATGTTTCAGGGTTTAAGACACCTGGAAATATCTGTTTGTTGCCTGAGCGAGATGCTACCATAACTACCGTTGTGAAACATTTGGTTGTGGTTGTGCCAGTTTTACCCAGTTCCTGCTGTAGACAGAGGTTGTATTTCCTGTGTGTTCACTAATTCTGCAATCAACTTTATATTATTATTGATTTTTAGCCCAGTTAGACTAAAATGTATAATTGTTTAGAGCTCCTACCCCATCGGTCGCTCTTTGAGGTGTTATATTTGCAAAGGGCTCGGATATTGACGAGCATCAGAACCTTTTATTATTTGTTTTAACATAAACAGTACAAATGACACCATGGTGATTTTCACAGCTGTGTTTCAAGTCTGTATGAGGAATTGAGATTTTAGATGCATCTGGAGGGATTTATTACAAGGGTAGCTTTAGGTGGGCCGTGGACGGTAAGCAGCAAGCCGGTTCTATGCTAACTGAACACAGTTTCTTGTTAATAAAAGCATCTTAAAGATGACTGAGAACCTTCATCAACATCTTAAAGAGAGGTTTACTGCAGACTTACCCTTAATGAAATATTGAATTGAGCAGAGTCTATAATGATATGAATCGCTTTAATTAGTAGCCCACATTTTGTGTTAATGTAGATTAGTGAATAGGCTTCATAAAGTAAAAGTACATTGACACTTTTAGAGTTATTACAATAACTAGAGTAAGACATACGCTATATAGAGAGTTATTTTAACACTAATTCAGAGCGGCACCAAATGCACTTGGATTGGTATTAAATTTAATTGTTGAAATGTTACTTTAATACTGCAAATTTTACTGTGTAGTTTATGTTTCTGATGATTCTGGCTTTAGCTAAATCAGTTTTCTCAGTATTAGGAACGTCTAATGATGGACTGACAGGTGATTCTCCTCTTTGCTACAACAGAATTATGTCTGCTGCCGGGCATGTCTTTTGTAATGGGTTTTTGTGGGTTTCGCAAACGTGTCAAACAGGAAACGGGGAAACAGTTACCAATGGGTTTGACATATTTAATTTCCCGCCAGAATATAATCAAATCTGAGAGCTGATTTTTGCAGTGCTTATTTTAGCTTTCTGGTGAAAAAAAGTATGTGGTACAAATAAGGCGCTTTACATAAGTGTTAGTTGAAAACCTTAGTAGTGCACAAATGTGTGTGCACTACTTGTATGTATTGTAAGCGAGTAAACATCTGTATGTTTTTGGAAGTTTTTGCAACCAGAACCTGAAAAATTAGCATGTTATGTATTTATATTTCTCCTCCTTTGCTATCAGATGCCACGAAAATAGTAGGGTTGCAACTAATGATTATCTTGCTAATTTATTAATATGTCCATTATTCTTTGCTTAATTGATGAATAATCAGATTAATAATCAAAAGGCTACTTAAGGAACATTATTAACTGAATTAAACCAGTTCAGACGAATACTTTTCTGGATAGAGATTATTTGACATTAGTCTAACAACACAACGATATGAGCCAATATATATTTTGGCCATTTCTTGGAACTGATATTGCTTCCTCTTCCTCAGATGTTAAAGATGACACAATGATTAAAAGAAATGTTACACTAACTTCAATTTAGACCATAAAAAAGGTGTTTAATTAAAAAAATTCCACAACAATTAACAACGGATAGCAAATGGAGGTAGATGCAGTGCATGTGGTTCACGCAATTACATGGCAGGGCTGCTGAATTCACTAATGACTCGACCGCTGCAGGCTCGTATGCGCAGATGCAGATACATGTAAGAATAAAGCCAGTATTGGCCAAAAATATCAGCTGGTCATTGTATAAATTTCTCTCTATTAAATAGAAGATTGCAAAGACTTGGAACAATTGTTACTCTTAGATGAGCACATATCGTCAGTGGACAGCTGCTTGCATTATGTTTCCATCTATGTTATTTTAATGCTCATTTTGAAGTATCCCATTAGAAGAACCTGATAGAAACAGCTAAATTTGTATCCATTAACTAAATTTCACAAAATATTTTAATGCTCATTTGAGGTTTTCAACTTTTTTTGAAAAACCTTAAATAAACTAAAGAGAATATAGAAGCACATTTGTAGAGGTAGTTCTGATGTAGCGAAAATGTACCTTACTGTTTCTGAAATGTTTAGAACTGCACAACCTCTTGACAACAAAAATATTGGGAGCACATGACGGGGATCGTTTAGACTGATGTCAAAATAATTTGTATCAACATAAACTTGCCCCCCCCTCCAGGACAAACTTAGCTTCTAAAAGAGAAAAAAAAAAAACCAGAAAGAACAAAATGTAAAGTTGATCTACTAGCAAATAATGCTAAATTGGATATCTGTAGGTAAACATAAAAGTGAGGAAAACCATGCCCTCCAGCAATCAAAGTCTATAGTAGCATAACTACAGATATAGTTAATGCTAATCCACTCTAACTATAAACTTTATCAAAAAGGAAAGCTTTAAGCCTAGAATTAAAAGTAGACATGGTGTCCGCCTGCCGTAACAAACCTGGAAATTGGTTCCAAAGGAGAGATGCCTCAAAACTTAAAAGATCTACTAGATTTTTTTTTCATTATTAGCTTCCAAGATCAAATGTCAAATGAACAAACTGCACCATGAAGACCATTAAACATGGGAAGTAGTAAGTGGGGAAGTTTCATAGCCTGACGTAGTCCTACTCAATTCTAGTCAGAATATGAGTCTGATGCTGCTCCATAGAGCTGTGATTATGGGGCGTGTTTTGAACGAACCAGGAAAAAAAATGCCTCTGCACTCAATTGGACATATGTTAAGCGACGCATAGTTTTTGTCAACAAAAATCAAAGCGTGCAGTTGCACGCCTAGAATAAGAAGATGAGCCTTGATCGCGTTTCTCTGTTCCTCTTTTAAAATTAATTTGCTGCCGATATCTTCTAGAACAGACCTAATAGCAGAATCTACTCACCTCAACTCTCCAGCGGCAGCCATTGTTGTTGTCACCCAAGCGCGCTTTTGTGACGTGGTTGATTACGTTACTGTTGATCATCTGTCCATCATCGTATAAAGCCCGCCCTGACAATTTGATTGGCCCGCCAGATATTGTGCGAGCATACTCGCGCTACTATTGAGCAATGCCAGACCGAACTTCCTGACGTCAGACGTTGTGGGCGGGACTAAGTTCGGAATGGCACCCAGGCTAGAAGTTTCAACCCAGGTTAAACAATAAGAACATCTAACAGAGTCCTGTTAAGTCCATCATGTAAAAATTGAAATAGAATGACCCGATTGGCCCAAATCTGCCTATGACAAGGTCACAACCCCCACACTGAAACACCCTGATAAAGTCCACAACTCCTCTTCTGTTAATTAAGCTAATTTCACAGCATATTAACTGTTGGTGAATCTTCACCTTGACCACCTGCAGTGACAGGCTGGTTATGGAGAAACAAGCAGCAAAGATGACCATGGTGACGCTAGAGGAGCTGCAGAGACAACTCAAGTGGGAGAATATTAGTTTTGCACCCCAAAAATCTGGTCTCTATTGAAAAGTGGAGAGAAGAAAAAACATTGCAGGAAGTTTACGTTCAGCAAAACGGCGTGTCCTGATCAGGGGAAAACAAAATAGTTTTTTGTGCAAAACACAGATTTTAAACAAATAAGTTCAGTAAAAAAATCCACAATCCTTTTTTTTCACCACATTGTTCATTGGTGGTTATAAATTCTGTGCAGAAAGGACTGACCATTCAGCTGTTGAATCATTTCTTCTGCTGCTCGGTTGTTAATGGCCTGTCAGAGCCGAAATAAAGCTTCTCTCTACTAAATGGAAGAACAGAATGAGAAGGCTTTTATAGGACTCCCAGGTGACCGTCTCTAATCAATGAAACCATGCACCTAATGCTCAGTATTGCTAAAGGTATCATTTTCCTACCATCACCTCAACTACTTGATTACTCGTGTGAGCCCCTTATGCTCTAGAGGTTGGACCTGATATATGTTGATGCAGTTGACCTCTTCAACTTTCTCCTTTTTTTGTCTATGAATTCATCTTCATTGAAATAGTTGGCTGAAAAACAGAGCAGTTGTTCCACATGAAGGTATCCTTTTAGAACAACAATTAAATCTACATGTGTACTAGAGCAGCAACTAATGATTATTTTGCAGATGGTTTAATCTGTCGGTTATTTCTTTGATTAATCGATTAATAAGTTAATAAGTTTCCTTAAAATAGACTTGTTTGCTAAATCAAACCAGGTGGAACTAAAACTTTCCATTTGAAGAGTTCCGGATAGTGCATATTGACAGACGAGATTTTTAACTTAGATGAAAATGTTTACATTTTTTTTTTACAAT